TAGTAGTAGTAGTAGTAGTAGTAGTAGTAGTATCAGCAGCAGCAGCAGTAGTGGTAGGTTGTTGTAGTAGCTGCAAAAAGATCTCAAAGGGAACCAATAGCAGCACAATTGAATAGCAACAACCTACGGGGCTTAAAAAAGCACCCTGGGTGAAAAACTTGTTCAGTACTCCCTCCCATTAAACTAGTCAGGGTGTGGGAATATGTTTGCGATATTACACAAATTAGTTCAGATTTGACACTAGTTCATTATAGAGCTTCTACCCAAGTTCATCTGCAAAGGCACCTTCTCTGAGTGGCATGAGGTGTTTGCAAAAACCCCCACAGTGTTCACCTCAGCAGGCCCTTTATTTTTGATTCCATTTGGTTCAGTGAGGATTGTTCATTGTTCACATGTATTATTTACATACACATGTGTATATATCTGCATCTTCCAAGAGTGTCCTTTTTCAGTCCCTGGCACAAAGGTATTTCACCAGAGGGGCGTTTTTGTTATACCAGTGGTTTGAGATGGATTTGATTGGTTTTGTCAGATACAAGGGGCTTAGGGATCTCGGCACCAACCCCATCTATATAGTTTCGTCCTGGTATGTCCTGATGTGGACAATCCACTTGTATGGAAATTTAGACGTGTGTGTGATGATTCTTTGGGGTGTCAATGGTGTCACGGTGTTCAACCGATCTGGAGAAGTTTACTGGGAATCCTTTGAGAAACAAAGGGCATTCTGAGTTTCATTGTGGTTAGTTTCAGCTATCATGCATGATCCGTGTTGACAAACAGCTATTGTGCGGGAAACAGCTAGCATGCATGATAAACCATACTTATCACCAAAACCAACAAATCTAAGGGCGGAATTTGCTGGACACGAGATGCAGACGAAAAGTAACCACAGTGTTATCACGACATGATAGGCTCAAAGGAAGAACAACACACTATATGAGGCGCAGTGAAACCACTGCAACAAGTGCAACAGTTCCTTAACATTGAGTTCATGAATCATTCAATCAATTAACACTGCCAATCTCAGCGTTGGGTTTCACAACCCCAAAACAATGGGTTGGCTATGTCTCGGATTGACATCTCCATAGCCCTGCTAAAGAACAGCGAGAAGGCGGGCAAACCACAGATGTTTGGAATCACATCCCCAAGATCCACATGACATATGACTATTTTATTTGTTGAAGGATGTTGAAGGGGCATGAGCACTTGGACCTGTACAAATCCATAGATTCCAATGTGTGCCCGTTCTCCAGGGTGTCACGGGCGTCATGAGCAGCATTTCGACGGGTGCAACGGTGGTGTTTTCCTCCAGGAACGGCTGAACTCGGAGGAGGCGCAGCTCGAGGTCTTGCGAGGCGCGTACGGTTGGGGGTCCCGGGAGCGTTCACTTTTTTTTGGAGGAACCTCCCCTTTCCATGGGTGGGGAACATCATGGAACGTCCATCCATTTGATCAAAGGTGTTTGGCGTGGGTCAACTTGCCAACAAAAAATCATGGGTCAACCACAACGAGAGGACGAAACAACCTTACAAAAATAAGCAGCTTTAGCTTATGATTCTATGATCTCCTACATATTGCCGGTGGACTTGTGTGATTCACATCTCCACCCCCTGGGGGCCTCGTGTGGGTGGACCCCCACCCATGGGTCACCCGGTTCAAAGATGTTCAAAAGCCCCTCTGCCGACTGGGTTGGTTGGTTCTCGTACTCGGACATCTCACCAGTTTGAACGTGGTTCGACCACTTCTGTTTGTGTTGTTCAACAAGTCGCATGTGGCCTTACTGGTGTCCGACTACTCAGATCCTTGGGGATCAACTGGACTGACGCCCTCTGATTTTTGCGGGTGTAACCACAAACCGACATCTCGAGAGATCCGTCATCAGGGATCAATCGCCAGCTCGAAGGGTTTCCAAGCCGTGCCAGCGAAGATCGCTGCTTCATGCGACATGAAAAGATGTGAAGTGATTTGAGGACTCTGCATTTGAGTTATATATATGTGAAGTTGGATTGAATCTCAAGTTAGCTCGTCGGCAACATGTCTCAGTGACCTGGGTCCTGCCACTTATTAAAAGACTTGACTGGGTGCTCACCCGCCAAACACTGGAAGCCTTGCTTATTCTAGCCTTCTGATGCGCTCAGGGAGATTGGTTCCATGTGCCAAAGTGGTCCAAAACCCCGGGCTGAAACTCCGTTGCGACGATGGTTTTTGTCCAGAACCCCGGGTGGCCCAAAAGACTCCTATCTGGAAAATCTTGGGACACACCCAGAAAAACAAAAAGTAAAACTGACTGGGCGTTGAAACAAGTTGAGTATATCATCATGTCAGTCATCATGTCGATCCCCTGAAAGTGAGTATATCATGATGTCATGGTCGATCCCCTGACAGAAAAAAGATACAAACGCAAGCATTTGAGGGCTCCTCATCCATGGATCACGACCCCAAAGACTCGGATTCCAGCTCGCTGCCTGCCAGAACTGCGACAACTGCGGCTGCTGGGGGCCCAGGGGTCCAAACGACTCCGGTCCGGACTCGAAGGAAAGATCTAGATCACCTGCCCGGCTGCCATTTGAGGACCCGGATTCTTATGGTACCATGAATTGGAGGTGGGGTCTATTCCAATTGATCCGCCAAAGCCACACAATTCTGGGGGTGATGCTGCTCACAGAGGAGGCGATGAGTTCACTTGCCCGATGGTCTGGTGCTTCGGATGGTAGGGAATGAGGGAACGGATCGAACAAGACATGTCATGTCTAGGGACGACGGGTTTTTTGGTTCATTCCATCGGTGTGTTTTTCAAGGCGGTATTTTAGGGAAACCTTTGATGAGGTCGCTCTTGACTTGTTGCTGAGAAGCAGCCCTGTGCTAGGATGTTGGATTATGTGGAACTTGTTGGGAACAGGAAGCAGTCAGTCCCCATGTCTTGCACAAATCAAGTGTTTGTCCATTGTTCCAAGGCAAGTGGCGGCGGGCAGTGAGAAAAGCCAGGCAAAAAAGTGTGTGTGTGTGTGGGGTCGTGTTTATGTTTGTTGGGTGGAAACGTTGAGCACAAGCTTTCTTTGCCCCATGTTTGGACATGGAAACAGTCCTTCGGTGCTATTATTTAGCCCGCAGTAGGGACTGCGCACAGAGCATGGACATGTAGAAGACCTGATTGTGCATGCCGATACCAGCGCCAACATGGGCTGGTCAATAGTAAGCCTGGAGTCGGCCTGGAGTTGTTTGTTTCAAGTCGTTTTGACCCATGTTTGATAATATATGCAACTATATATATATATAAAAAAACAATCAACCATATAATACCGGCGGTGATTTTTGTTTCATGAGAATGCCTGTTTTGCAAACGGGACTTGCCTGCCCTCTAGTTGCGATAACATATATACCTGAGTGAACCCCCTCCATCATCTGACAGCTACAGAAACACCGACCCCGGTGGATCCAGTGACCAAAAGGCGAGTGGCTGTGTCGCTGACCTCGACCTCCCAACCCTCTTCGACGGGTCACCTGTCCGCCGAACCCCAAATCGGGGACAGCCCAACGGAACGCGAAGGGTCTCTCTATTGTTTGCGACGCCCTGCTAGGCACCGGCACGGTCGCGGTGGATCGCGGTGGATCGCGCGGTCTCGCGAGTTCGCAGGCGAGAGAGGAGGAGCTCTGCTCAATCAGCGTGGAGGCGTGTGATGTATGAGGGAATTTTGTGTTTGCTTCTTTGATCTTAGCCCTAGAATGGCCTGGATATTTGAGCTTTATTACTTTGGGCATCTTTGGGCCATATATCAGCTAAAGGAAAGTTCTGAGGTCATATCAGTTTCCTTGTGAAGGGTTGTTTCATCCAAAACCTATACTTGTATACTGAAGTCGCAGCAGAATGCTTTTGAGCTGAGCAGCTCCATTCACACTGGCCTTCCGACCAGTTCTGCCAGTAACTGCTCAGCCGCCGCCCGGTCGCCGTTTCTCCGAAAGGACGGTGTTCTGGTCGAAGAGCTCGAGCTCCACAGGGTCTTTACCCACGTACTACGAACGGAACAAGCTTCGCTTACGAACTCGGGGCGCACCTGGCATCGCGGTACGAACCGAACTGGCCGCGATCGGACGCGACGACTGAGAGTCCCATTTGGCCGACCGAGACGACCGCCATGGACCTCCACCAGAAGGCGCACGAGTTGGCCGAAGCGCCGGGGGGCCTGAGCTGATTTGTTCCGCATGCCGAGGGGTTTCGCGGGGCGACACTGGGACCGGTGCGGCAAGTTAATGTGGGTTCAGTCTTTTGAGAAGGATCAGGGGGTTTTGTTTTGATGGGAAAATGGGAAACTCCGTTTTCCAATCATGCATCTCGTTGCATCAACGGGAAAAGGATGGCAGTGTTCCAGGTCATCACACCTCAATGGTCATCACATCTTCGGCGCCTCCGCTGTCTGGGACACCCGAAGAAGTGAACCAAAACCGGAGGGTTGCGTCGCTGAGCGAAGACAAGCCCCTTCAGTGGAAGGCATCCTGAAGGCCGACCCAGAATCTGCACACCAGTTTTGACCTTTTGATTTGGGGTGGAGAAAATTTGGTTTCTTTGCTTCAACAACAACAGCTGGAGAGTTAACCTTTATTTATATAATAGGGAAACGGCTCGGGAGTCTGTATTGACCATCCCTTGGGCATAGCACTCTTACATAGCTTGGGTGTCCAACGTCGTTTGCAAGCGGGATGCACCAGTGGATGCACCTTTTTTGTAGTACTCCATCAATTAATAACAATTAATCATCGACACTGGGTTTGGCTTGTCAAGTGCCCCAGTCATGGTTCAAAACCAGTGAACGTTGTTGCCTTTGACACATTCAACATGGCTATATGATCAAGGAACATTGTTGCGGGCTTTTTGAGCTGGTGAAATATGGAGGTGGCTCATGATACCCACCCTTTGGATGAGCCAACGGAACAGGAAAGCCCGTTCATGTCCGTTGAAGTTACAGCCCAGCTGCATGTTTCGGTGGTCAAATGGCAGGCAAGTCGAGGAGAGAGTCCATGACATCGCTAGTCGCTATCCCGTAGCGAAACTGGTGGAGTCGTCCATCAAGTTGGAGGTGTAAAAGAGGACCAACAAAAACAGATCTAAGCACACATGACTCATCATGACTCCAAGGCTACTGATCTAAGCCCGGAATGCGTGGCGTATTTGTTCCTCCACGCGAAGCAGGATGAATGAGATGAGACACTCGATGGAAGTGCTGCAAAAGCGCTTGGAGCACTTCGAGAAGCCTTCGAGAAGCACCTCGCCTTATATCGGCTCGACCAGATCGGCACCGGGGCACGGCATGACCAGATCGGAACATGGCGACTCCACGAGGTCATTTTCAGGGTCGTTAGTTTGATGTTCATTCGTTTTCGTGCTGTGATTGTGCTGGCTTTCCCAAGCATAGTCATGCTGTAACCAGTGTGTCTCACTTCCTTTCTTCACCTTGGTGGACCTCACATAGTCATTCCTTGCTGCCGAGTATTTCAGTCTTTTTCTTACCACTGGCCAAGCTGCAAAGAGCCTACAACGACGGGAGCCTAGTATCCCATACTGAGACCTTCCAAATTCTATCAAGTTCTGCCCTTTTTTCCAGAAGCAACCAGAGGTTCCGGTGTGGTTCATGGACACCCGTATAGTATATGGCTTTTGTAGACATTCCGAACGCCCAGTGGGGGCGAAGAAGGGCGAACGGGAGATGTCCTGACTTCGCAGCTGGCGCTTCAGGTCAGGACCTCTCCGTCTAGTGAGGGGACCACGGCACCGTGGGGAGGAGCGTCACACGCGTTGGTCTCATGGCGCACGGATGAGGAGACCTGTCCGGTTGATACGATGCGTTTTAAGGAACTTCATGATGAGGATGCTCCACAGTGACTCCAGAGACCATCCAGACTTTGCACTACACAAATCTTTGCGATTTTACACCTCAATCTGCAGCGGACGGGTGCTTCACACCCTCGAGAAGGTGTGTTCCTCCTTTTGTTCGCGCCACGAAGCTCGTGTCACCCATTCGTGGTCGTCGGGGTGGGGGCGGGGTCGGCCCGCAGGCGGGCCGCAGGGTCAAAGGTACCTTGTAGCTCTTCGTCCTGCTTATGGGATGCGAAGCAGCCCATGGCCATGGCCGACGATGCGATGCTAGTGTGCCAGGGTCGGATGGATGAGCTCCGCGGTGTATCACGAAGGTGATCCAGTGGAGACCAGTGGTGTATACCCCCAAAAAGAAGCCTTCTCAAAACGAGCATGGTGTATATATGTCACTAATTACATGAGGAGATCTCTTTCAAGAACGAAGCATCCCGAATAGCTTTATCAAGCCAAACTGGTACTGAATGGACAAGCTGAGCATCTCTGTCTCGCCAGCCGTCTGTGTGTTCAGCTGGTGGTTTGGGAGCTCCGATACATTTGGAGGTGGCTGAGCATCGTGAAACGTGTGCTCGGAACACCAAACGTGTGAGGAGGTTCCTCCCGAAAGATGTCAAGAATTGTCAAGAGCATTGACGTTCTTTTACAGTGGATCCCATTCCCAGACATGACCCATGGGACTGGCATGTTTACAGACATTGGGGTGGTTGAAAAGGGGGGAATGTAGGCATATATGATTCCATACAAGGAGTGTTTGAGATTCCTTTTTATGTTTACAGTCACGTTTGCCTAATTGCCAGATGACTGGATCAGCTGTCATTGTGTGTACTCGATATACGAGCTCATCCCTGCTAGTGGGCGCTGGACTTCCCTGGCGGTCGATTGCTTGAGAAGAAAGTGGGCTGGGTTTGCTTTGCCTTGCTTAGCTCAAGGAGGATGTACTGGTATCTAGACCAAGACGGTGCACAGGGAGTGTTCAATTGTATTTAATCACCTTCCTGCATAGAATCTATAGCTTCCGTTTTATCCCTTGTGACTTGTGACCAGCCCAGAAGATCGTCAGGTGCGAACGTGCGAACAGTTCAATCTCCAGAGCTGCTCGACCCGCATCCGATCAACGACCCGATCAGACCTCTTCCTCAGACCTCTTCGCTCGACCTCTCCCGACCTCTCCCAGCGGCTCAAAGGGAAGACGCTACCCGCGGAGCTCCGCGGAGCTCCGCGGCCGGGACCCGCCGCGGAGCTCCGTCTCATCGGCGCCCATGACGACCATCGCCCACAAGGTCTACTATTGGGTGGAGACCACGATCGGACACTGGGCCTCCGAGCAGACTGCTTTCGCTTTTGGGGGGGCACCGATTGGCCTTTTTTGGTTTGTGTGTTAGAGATTGAAGCCGGGCAGCGAGGTGGAGATGTCTTGTTTCTTGTGTTTTTTCCTTTAAATACAGGGATGTAGAAGGGTGGTTTCTATAGATCCCCCAGTCAATGTATACAAATCTGCCATTCCCATTGGTCGTGTTTGGGATATGTTCTACACGTGTGTTTTTGCACAAAGTGTTGTGGGGATGAAGTGCGAGTTGCACGGTGTCCGTTGTTTTGATGTTTATAGCCTTACACGAGTCCGTGTGTGTTTGTGGGTGCTCCGACTCACTAACATGGAAATGGAAAACCTGTTTGGTATTCAGAAAATGGTCTTCACAGGGGCCATGCCATCCAGAGAATCCAGAGTGTCATTCCAACGTCCTTGCTTTCGGTAACACCGACTCTCCGGTCCGAACTCGTCCGCTAGTCGCCTCCGGTCGCTCGTCCGAGCTCCACTCTCCCACGCTCCGCGCTCCGACGCGGCGCCCCAGAAAATGAATACAAGATCTTCCAGCCGAAGGACATCGCCTATCGGCACGGCGTGCCAGCAGCTCGGGCTGGGCGGATGGCACCGATGGCACCGATGGCCGATGGCAGTGGTAATCAGTGGTAAGAAGGAGAGGGTTTTGAGGTGACGGTGGTTCATGGTTTCAATGTGTTTCAGCTGAATTGATGTTTGAACATGTTTGAACCAATTGCTACAAGATCATATGAAGACTTGAACTTTGGTCTGAAGAAGACGTTTGAAGTATGAGTTGTATACGCATATACAAGGATTTTGGATAATAAGTACTTGTCTGTATGTTAGTCTACAATATTTTTTGGTAGATCAGAGTCTGACGAAAAAAACCGTGAAAAACCAATGGCCGGTTAATCCCCTCCGGCGGGCAGGTGATTATTGGGGACTGAGAGGACATGCTGGGCATGCTCCACCATCAAATGGATCAGGGAAGTTTAATGTAGACTGTTGAGTTGAGTCATACGACTCATAACTTAATAACCTTCCCCCATCTGAAGAGGTGTTACACTCCATTTTGGGGTGGATGTGTAATTGATCCAAAATGTAATACTCTCAAGTTGAGTGCAGGGTGAGGTTCAACATGGGAACCCCTACACGTAGGGGTGTTCTTCTTGCCCTTTGGCCCTTGTGGATCTGTGTGTCGTCGCACGAGGCAAAGGAGCTCTTCACATATTGGCAGAAAGAGATCGACTGTGATAAGGTGCGTCCAACCGGTCCGTCCAACCGGTGGTGTTGACCGTTGTTTCACAACGTTTCACATGAATTTGCCAACCGGTGTTTGATACTGATAGTGCATCTCCCACCGGGGTTTTGGTGCTTTTGCTCACCGTTGACGATGTTTTGATTGACTTGGAGGATGATTGGTATGTGCTCTGTTTGCATGATCCTGAATGGCTCGACGTTGGGTGAAGCGACGACGTTTGAATCAAAGCTGAAAGCTGAGACCACAGATCTTTGAGGAACCCTTCTTTTTTGATGCGGGGCCTCAGAACCATTCAAAACCCCCATGTGTTTGGCCTAGTTCCTTTATTGACATGATTAGACTAGTGATTAGACGCTATGTTTGTCTATTCTCCCATACCTTTGGTTGTGTCTTGTGCAGATGTATACGTCCTTATACGTCCGGCCCCTACCTGGACGCCTCGGACGTATACGTGGAACCCGTGGACCCGTTGGTCCGTCCTCGTGGACCAGGCCGTCCAGACCTTGCCTCGGACGTTGTTTTTGATCATCTTCTTTGCCCTGATGCTCCTGTCACACGAGGTCCCCCGGTGGTGGGGCGTTTGTGGGGCGTACGAAGGGGCGTGGTGGAAAGCGACAGCTTTGGCCGCGGATGTTGGTAAGGACATGTGCTGGGTGTTCGTTGTAGAGATGTTAGGCAAATATTGCCGTTTGTTGTCGATGTTGGTAGTAGTTTGGGCTTCCATCACTTGCACTTGATCACTTGATCACTTGCGTTTGCATCACGTCTTCATGAGGATTGGACGGGAGTCGTTTCGGTGGCTGGGCGCCCGCCTGGTTTCTGTAGCCTGGTTCCATAAAAAGGGAGTCCCTTAAATGATCTTTAATGACTCAACGACCATCCCCAATATTCTTTGATGATAGAACACATCATATTTCCAATTTTATTCATCATCCCCAATATATTCCTTGGAGTGTCCCAACTCCAATGGCCACCGTCCCAACGTCCACCGTCCGTCTCCGTCTCCGTCTTCGGTCGATCCCAGGTCCCGTCGGTCCCGTCGGACGATCGGTCGAGAACGACCGGTCGACGGACGTGAGGGTCGGTTCCAAAGAAGAGAACATCCAAACGTCCTGTGCAGGCAGAAACACATCAGTCTTCGATGTTTCTGATATTTTTCTGTCACATCCGGGTCGATGTTCTCGTTTTTTGTGCCACATCCAATCAACCAGATGTTTCTTTTTTCTGTCATTGCCTTCGAGATCCTGGTTGATTTGCAAAGAACACCTCGATGTGGCCCGAGAGATCCTCGAGAGACGTCGAAAAGACCCGCCTCAGATGATTGGCCCTGCTCAAAGCATCGAGCCTCTTGGATGCCCGAAGTTCGCTGCGACGATCCGAAGCAGGTCCGGGCAGGTCTGATTTGTCTCTTGCCAGGACCCTCCTGTCGGGGTGTCTAGCCCCGAAACGCTATAGATTCGGGGTGAATGGACTCACCTCCCCGACAGGAGGGTCCTGGTAACTCAACATTCGGGCTTGAGAGGCTTTAGACCAAATAGGATCTTGAGGGTCCTGATCATATATGATCATGTTTCGTCAGTCCATGTCAGTCCGGTTGTCTACTAGGATGTCCTACGTTGGGGTTACAACCTGCGGTGTTGGGGGACGCAAGGGTCTGTGAATAGCAAGGGTCCAAGCTCGGGAGTTGGCAGAGTTTAGATGATGGAAGCCAATAGAGAACAAACGGAGGTCCTGAATTCATGACTTCCTTTTTGGTCCCCAGAAGTCATGAGAACCACTTTGAATACATCTCAAAAGGATCATGGAACATGTCTCTGCTTTCAAAGGATTCCATGAATTCTGTTTTCAATATGATCCCCCAGCAGATATTCCTCGGCAACAGATACCCTCCGTCTCCGTCCCCCAAAAGATACCATGGTAAAACAGATTCCGGATCCGGCTGCCACTGGCCGCTGCCCGAGGAGAGCCATCCGCTTCGACATCGCCTCTGGACGACGTGGGTGTTGTGATGGACAGGGGCCTGGTGTGGGAGGTAAAACGGAGTACCTGCATGTGTAGGGGAGGATGTAGGGAGGGCCGTTCAGGGTCTTTACAGTATCTGACAGTTTGAATATATGTTTGATTGGCTCAATGATACATGAATGAGAATCGAGGCGGAGCCGGATCATAGTGATACACAATCCAAACAATCCATGTAATTGTGGAATGTTTGCCTATAGCTTTTGAGGTGTTTTGAGTTTTGAGGATTATATATATATATGTGTCCTATATATATATATACACATTATTATATGTAATACATTACATGATTGTTGGGCAATAAAGTGCAGTCAGCATATGCAGAAAACTATGACGTTTGCCCCAGTTGATCCTTTTAGACCGTGTGGTGCTGTGTGTTTTGCTATTTGGACTAACAGGTCTTCCCTTTGACTACGAACTAACAGGTCTGCCAAATGTGGTGACCACGAGCGCGAAGCAAGTGCGATGGGCGCCAGCGAACTGGGTCAGGTTTCCCGAAGAACGAACGCCCCGTTTCGAACGCACGCCCCGTTTCGAACGGACATCACCGGTCTAAGGAAGAGAACGCCAATTTTGCCTTCAATGGTGTTGGCACCTTTGGAAACAAGAACATCCAGGACGCCACTCGGTTGAAACATCTCTGGCAGAGAAGCTGGTGGTATGCCTTTTTTTCTCCACCCCAAGGGTGTTGGCCGTCTTTTGTTTTTGGTACATCCTGATAAGCTACTAGGAACCAAGGGCATCGCTAGCAAGAAGCTACTAGTAGCTTTTAGACATTGCTACTAGGGCGTCTGTTGTTTTTGTACATCCTGATCCAATGTCAGAAACAAGAAGCTACTAGGAACCAAGGGCATCGCTAGCAAGAAGCTACTAGTAGCTTTTAGGCATTGCTACTAGGCCGTCTTTTGTTTTTGTACATCCTGATCCTTCCAATGTCAGGAACAAGAAGCTACTAGGAACCAAGGGCATCGCTAGCAAGAAGCTACTAGTAGCTTTTAGGCATTGCTACTAGGCCGTTTGTTGTTTTTTGTACGTCCTGATCCAATGTCAGGAACAAGAAGCTACTAGGAACCAAGGGCATCGCTAGCAAGAAGCTACTAGTGGCTTTTAGGCATTGCTACTAGGCCGTCTTTTGTTTTTGGTACATCCTGATCCTTCCAATGTCAGGAACAAGAAGCTACTAGGAACCAAGGGCATCGCTAGCAAGAAGCTACTAGTAGCTTTTAGGCATTGCTACTAGGCCGTCTTTTGTTTTTTGTACATCCTGATCCAATGTCAGGAACAAGAAGCTACTAGGAACCAAGGGCATCGCTAGCAAGAAGCTACTAGTAGCTTTTAGGCATTGCTACTAGGCCGTCTTTTGTTTTTGGTACATCCTGATCCAATGTCAGGAACAAGAAGCTACTAGGAACCAAGGGCATCGCTAGCAAGAAGCTACTAGTAGCTTTTAGGCATTGCTACTAGGCCGTCTTTTGTTCTTTGTACATCCTGATCCTTCCGATTGGACATGTTTTTGGGACCCTTTCAACACATCGATTTTCCCCCGGCGATGGCGATGCTTCTCTAAGAGGCGAACATGTCCGTGTCCGTGTGTGGCCGTACCGCGCGGTGTACATCCTGATCCTTCCGATTGGACATGTTTTTGGGACCCTTTCAACACATCGATTTTCCCGCGGCGATGGCGATGCTTCTCTAAGAGGCGAACGTGTCCGTGTCCGTGTGTGGCCGTACCGCGCGGTGTGACTGTGGGGTCGATGGGGGCCGTCCTTGGCCATCCGAGGTCAATAGCTTTGCGGACTTCTATTCCTGGTTTCGCCTAGGCGAAGCGGATCTTGAATGCAGAACGCTTGACACTGTCACAGGTGAAGAGCAAAGCAACCAAAGTCGATTTGGTTCCCTTTTTGGACTATCGGACCCAGACCCACATATCGTATGCTTTGGCAGCATGCTCAACATGTCGTCACTCGTCACCGTTCCCCAAGGCGGCATCAACAGACCCCTTCCGTGAGACCCTCCGTGTGACAGGGGACCCTCCATGTGACATGGCACCAAGATATGGAAACGGCTCGTTTTTGGATCGAGCTGTATAGGATATTTGTTTCTCTCTAGGCTGGTGGATCAAAGTCATCCGTGTGCACCCTGGTAGGGTTCACACCAGGTCGGTCATGCCCAGTCGGTATTGCCATGACCCGCTTTTGCGCTTTTGTGGGTCTCGTTGACTATGACATGCCTCCGCTTATAACGGTTTGCCGAGTTTTCTCGGTTGGTAACGGCAAAATCATCGCCGGTGATCTGCGATCAAAAGCCCTATCCCTAGGGATCCAAGTACCTTCTCAGCAGGTGAAATGAGACACCTCTATGTAGGTTTGGAGGGTCCGGTCCAAGTACCTTCTGAGAAGGTACGACTGGATCCCTAGAGTATGATACCGAAAGAGGCCTAAGAGAATCGAAGAACGCCCGATCGGAACATCTTGGAACCGCGGTTTGCGGCGGAAGCCGTGAGGAGAGAGTGAGGCTGATCGGTGGAAGCCGCTTTAGGTGGAAGTCACTGATGACTCATAGACCACGTGGCCGGTGGTTTCGGAGATGTGGATGTTCCACCCTTTAATGTGGGAGGTGTCTTTTTCCTCCACCACTGACTCATCTGATATGTTTCGCTTATGTATCGGATCAGAAGCACGTACCTAACCAGACCAGATGTTCAAACCCCTGGTGGCAGAGGGACATATCTAAGACAAACTTACACTCCTTCGAATCATCATGGGACGTTGATAGACACCACCATGGCACACCACCTGTGCCGCACCTGGGAGCCATGCCATGGTCCTCCCAGCTAGGTACCTCCTCAGAAGGTACGACTGGACCCTCCTGGTACCTGACATAACAGAGTCTCCGTCCATCTCCGTCCTCACCGTACCTGAGGTTCGGTACGATTGGATCGTCTCAAGGGGATGGAACCTCTTTCAGCTGAGATCTTCGTTCCCAACTCGGCCCGTTGGACCGGCAGAACCCCTTGGACCCGCATGCTGCCGCTGGGTGCAGGCTTCGCAGCGATCTACATGCCTCAGAGCACTTCCGTCTCTGAGGGCTCCACTCTCACTGCAGTTCCTTGGCAGCTGATGGGTGGTCGTAGGTGGTATGGCCTCGGAATCTTCAAGAGCTGATGAGTGGTATGGCTCCAGAAGAGCTGTGATGGAAGATGTCAACATCTGCTGGGAAGGCAGAGGGCTGGATGATGGATACAAATCTGAACATGGGATGCCCTCTCCCAAGGTGTTTGACTTGCACTTGCCCACTCATGCCGCTGGTCCACTGCCCAAGCTCATGATGTGCACACCCACCTGAAATGGCAAGCCTCGAAAGCTGGGAGTGCCAGTGATTTGTAGAGGGGAGATCCTGCTAGGCACAAGCTTGGAAGCACTTGGGTGTATCTTTGAATAGGGGGAGACCCCCCCAAATCTCGCCCCTGGCTGGGTTCGTTCTGGTCTACGATGGTCTACGTCCTTCGAAACCCAGGGGGGATCGTTGCCTAGGAGGTGTCCCAAGTTGTAAGACACACCCACTGTTTCTGCAGGGAAGGTTTCACTTTTCTGGTCTTTCGCATGTCTGAAACCATCTGAAACCATGTCCTTGTCTCATGGCAAGGATGGAACCCGGTGAAGGCCGCGCCACACGAGTGGCGGCAGGTGGAAACACGCACCGAAGGAGAGAAACCGCTTCCTGGACAGGTACCGCTCAGTACGCCCAACAAACAAATCTACTTGGAGACGAACCGCCTCACAGCTGCAGAAAGCAAATCCAGAAAAAAAAAATAAGAGCTATAGAGTTTGCTAGATGCCAAGACATGTTAAGATTATCGATCATTGAATGTAAATTCTCATGCAATTCCATAATATAAGATAAGCTCTTGTGTAAGCTTAAGGGAACACGCCCAAGTGAGGCACGGCATTCCAATGCTGGCACTTTGAACAAATTTGTACGGAACAAGTGGGAGGGCTTCTTCCAACACGCAGAACAGCCGGAGATGGTTGGAGGCTGTGCACAGATCAACGGAGATCTTTTTGGGAAGTGAACATGTTTCTGAGAAGTTGGGATATGTTCGTGAGGCCTATATAGTAAGAATGGTCAGTTACCCATTGAAACCCATTGAAACCCCTAAGAATCTCATGAGGCATTGAAATAATACAAATATATATAAAGATTGGACTGTGCTTTTGCATGCACCACCGTGTCTAGTCTTTATTCCTGAACATTTGTGGATATATATAATATACATTTGGGGGGGGGTACCATATATATATATATAATAGCGCGACCGAGGTTGACCGGAGTGGTCAGGTGGTTTCGTCGCCCAAACGACTGACATTGCCCAGCGGTTGCTGGAGTCCCCCCGTTCCGCGGAACACGCTGGCCCCGTTCGTTCATCGTCCGAACCGACCGGGGTCGGCGGATTCACCATCGAACAACCGCTCAACCATGGAATCCGCCAAACCGAATCCGCGTTATTGGCCATATTGTTTACTGTGTGTGTTACAAGCCTTACAGTGTGCTTGTCCATCAATCCTGGTACGGAGCACAGCATAGCACTCCAGTTCAGGACCCAGGACAGCTCAAGAACACACAGTAAGGCCGGGATTTTAACGAAGAGCCCTTGGGACTGTGAGATGACATCTGTGCCTTCAAGATAGTCAGGTATTTGTCGTTAACCAAGGGCACTTCACTTGGATAGTGGGAGTGGCATTCCTTGACCGAATCATGCATCAGTTCGTCAAAGGTGACATTCTTTTGTGCCTCTAGCTGCGGCAATCCATCCCATTCTGTTGTTGTTATCCATTCTTTTCGTTTCAATTTAGGATTGCAAGAAATCAACATCTTTTTTCAGCTGATTGTGGGATCTGCGTGTGACCATGTGAAGGAACGAGCTTGTTGGAACAACCAATCCCATACACTCCATGTATGCCATATTTGCCTACATTGGGGTGGTTTGGGGGGGTCAATGTAGGCATATATATGGCATGCATGGAGTGTTAGGGAATGCTTTTTTCCACTATAGCATGTTTTTTTAAAATGAGTCATGAGTTTTTTTGTTGCTTAATGGTTCAATGTGCATGCAAAATTCAGTTGGCGGACCTCATTTGGCCTGAAAGGTCCTCCCCTTGGGCTAGTGACTAGTGCGCTCCAAAAGAATCCCACGCAACCCACACACACACTCAGGCAATGAACCATGATGAAACATGTTTTTTGAACAAAAAACGCTTGGGTACTGTAGTTGATTGACTCAACAAGTAGGGGTGGTGCAACTTGCTGCAAAGGGCGCTGAGACCAAAGAGGTGTGGGACACACACGCACACATACACACGCACAATCATGTATTGGAAGGTGTAAAATAGAAGTGCAAGCCATACGTTGTCATAGAGGTGCCTTGCTCTTTGCCATATGTTACTCAACAAAATTTGGCATATGTTACTCAAACATTGACATCGCACGCTGACAATGGATTGGGTTATGTCCTTGCGATGTTTCTGTCACTAGTTGAGTGTCAAATGTTGCCCGCAGCGAAAAACCCAGGCAAGCTTGGTCCCATCAAGTTGTCGCAGCAGAAAGTGACGAAGGTCCGAGAAGCTTTGCCTGGCCTTGTGAGGACATTAGACATTATTACCCAGACATTCCACGCATGGACATATGATATGCTGATTCATTGACCCCAAAACCACCCTGATTCCAGTAATGTAGGGAGGTATGTCACACACACACGGAGTGTCTGGGTTTGGTTTTTGGTAGGGAACGTTTCCGGACAGAAACTTGTATACGCCGGGAACGATGGATTCTCTTCATCTTCAGGACACGTCCTCCAGGGTTTGAAGGATCAAGTGTTCCAAAGACGTGGTTCATATGTTTGGCAAACTGGGACCCGGGAGTGCATATTTCCCCGATGTTGTACAGTTGTACACTTGATTTCTTGAAACCTGCATTTCATTGTGAACTTTACAAAGGCTGTGAAAAAGCGAGGACTTTGACTAACGCCTGTAACAGTGTAAGGCAGGATGTCAGCTTGCTTTCTGGAACGCTCAGAGATGCGGCACTGGCACTTGCACGGACAAGCCTGTACCATGAATCATTGGCCGCAGGCATCACAATGTGACAACTACAACTTGTTCCAAGCCATTGACCCTCGGACTGCAAACATGTGTGGTGACTGTGCTTGTTCTTGATTCGAGTTTGTTGTATGTTTATTGTATATTGTTTGTGTTTCACCCAGTTGTGCAGTTGTTTGCGCAAAGGACGCCGGCGTGACAGCAGACAGTTGCGCCGCATTAGGCGGGGGTCAGGTGATGGACCCTGGAACATGTGAAGTGGTTTCTTATGAGGTTCTTCATTGTTTATTCTTTTGCAGGGTTTTGTTGCATCTGCCCGTTTTTCATTGTGTTGGCATAGGATCAGACTTCTTCTTGTAGTTTCTGGCATCAGCCTCCATGCCAAACTCACAAGATTGCACAATATGTATTTGAACTTGTTTATCCAGTTGCGAAGCCAGCCACTGCCGTAAAAATGTAATGATTCCTGTGCTGTCCGGGTCGCATCAATGGTGTGGGCATGTGCAGGGAAGGACTTCTTCATTCAACCCACCGACTTTGACATCGGCTTTCTGGATTTCACGGAGGACATGAACGCAACGGCCCCTTGGACCATGCTTGAGCACTTCAAAAGATGAAACAGGATACCTTGCCAAACCATTTTGGGGCGTTCCAAACGTTCCAATTTTGGAAGAATTGGATGGGTCCGTCTCTGCAGGATCAATATGTGGGATTGGGAGTCACCTGGTTTGAGTCTAGGAATTGTGTGGTTCCGGTAGTTCAAAAGGCATGTGTGTCATTGATGTATTTTTTGTCGAGAGACGTTGTATAACAAACGAGATATGGTGGATGTTTTTGTTCAAAATAAAGGTAGTCCTCCCGAAAGAGCCGGTGGGCGGAAGTTTCAAATCATAAAAACATATAAGAACTGTTCGAGGTGTGGTGTGGTTGATGAGCATGAGGCAGGAGTTGTAAATTATGGGATGCCAGGTCGATGGCTTCCGATGCGGTGATGTCTTTGTGTGAAGTACGTTCCAGCTGATTGTTGATGTGTTGAAGTGTAGTATGTGAGTGTTTCACCTGGGGGTGTCAGGGACCATGCAAGTCTGGCACTAACAAAGACGCCACTGTGTCCAGGGGTTCTAAGCTACACTTCCAACTGCTCTAAGCTACACTATCCAACTGCAAGTCCAGCAGGGGACTAGGCAGGGTACATCGTCGCCTGGTCAACGAAGCTGGCGATGTACCTGAGGATGTGGAAGTGGAGTCCACTTCCACGTACCTGCTCGATTGAGTTTCTGTGAACCTAAGTGCTGCTCAACACTGTCTCCTACGTTGTGTGCAGTAAAGGGCTAGTACACACGTCTATTGCAGAAATGTAAGGGCTAATGCACAACAAGATCCACTCTGAATATTGCTCCTTGGAGCATCTTTCTCAAGTGTGCTTCAACATTTTCCCATTGCGGTATGCTCGGTGATCCCCGATAGGGGCGCCCTTAATTCCTAGGTCCTATTGTTTATATCCACAAAGGAATCGGGCAGATTTTTTTATTCAATTTGATCCGGAAAGCGTCTCACCTCAGTAACCAGAATTATGTTGCAGAGCTCACTGAAATCGTTTCGCACGCGATAAACCATTACATCCAATTGTTCAATGTTGGCTTCGGTTACTAATTGTTCTTAATTTGCCACTTGGCACACACCTCGGTTACCTCGAAGTCATTTGTTTTCCTTCCGGCTGGATTTCTCTTGTTTGCTTTCTCTCCCTTGCTAGAGGCATGTTAGGTGTAATGCACGTTGCGCGGGACATACTCGGCTTTTTTGTGTGTTCCCAACAGTTCCTGTCGGAACACAGGGTGGCTCTTGAATAATTCGCCGTTCATGTGGCACTCTTGCACGGAATATGCAATTTGTCTAACCTTCCTTTTGGCTGCGCTTCTCTTCTCTGCTTTTCTTCCTTCCTAGAGGCTTGTTAGGTGTAATCCAGGTTGCGCCAGGCATACTCGATTGTTTTGTGTGTTCCCAACACACTCCTGACAAAACACAGAGTGGCTCTTGATTAATTTGCCGTTCATGTGGCACTCTTGCACGGAATATGCAAGTTGTTTAACCTTCCTTTTGGTGGCGCTTCTCTTCTCTGAATTTTCCTTCCTTCTTAGAGGCTTGTTAGGTGTACTTAATCCAGGTTGCGCCAAACATGCTCGGTTTTTTTGCGTGTTCCCAACGCTCTCCTGACAAAACACAGGGTGGTTCTTGATTAACTTGCCTTTCATTCGGCATTTTTGCCCGGAATGTCCCCAGTCATGTTTTTTCGGTTCCGGTTTTCTTTTGTTTTTTCTCCCTTTCCAAAGGCTTGCTATGCTGTAATTTAGGTATATGAAATCGCTGATTCGGCGCTGTATGGCGCTGCGCATGTGTCAGCACTAGGAGTTGTGTTCACGTTTTCCTGTTTTCTTTTGTTTTTCTATCACTTTTGTTCCCTTCTAGAGGCTTGTTAGGCTGCAACCTCGTTTTTTTGAATTCACCGTCTCAGTGTGCGTGTGTGTGCCATCTCCCGTTTCCAGGGGTTCTAACCTACACTATCTTACACTATCCACCTACTTTTCTTGGCACATTGCCCGGCAAAGGAGCAGGCAAGGTACACCCGTGCCTGGTCAACGAAGGTGGCGATGTAGCTGAGGATATGGAAGTGGGACGCCACTTCCATAATATACCTGCTCGTCGTGCTAGCTTTTTTTGAGCCTAAGTCCTGGTCAGCGCTGTCTCCTACAAGTGAGGGAGGGAGGGAGGGAGCGAGCGAGTGAGTGAGTGTGTGTGTGTAAGGGAGTGTGTGAGACAGCCGATAGTTCTCAGCTCGGAACCACCAGAAACTACTGTTGGTAGTGCACTTGTGCATCCTCCCAGGCCGTGTTGTCCAATCCAGCAAAGATTATAAGTTGCAACTGTTTACAGGTGTGCAGTGTTTTTTTGTGCATGTTGTTGCTGTGTGAGGTTTCACCTGGCTGTGCTGGAAGATCTTGAAACCACAAGCCGTTGCTCCAACATGCTGGAATGTTCCAAGTTCGGTAGTTTTCTGCACAACAAAACCACACAGACATCGCGCGACATAACTAATGGGTATAATCAATTGTTGTTTGGTGGATCATTGTGGGTCATTTTTGGTGAAAACGTCCCCGTAGATCACAAAAAGTTACCCTGATTTGATCTGCCAAGGATCATCAGTGCCCAGCTCACTCTATGGTTGACACCCCCAACGCCTCGTTCTCGTGCCCAGATTTGGTTCAGCCCCATGGAAGATGCCACGCCTCTCATCACCTGGCTGGAAAACAGCACGTGGCTCACCTCAGACACAGACCATTGGAAGGCCGGTTCATCCCCGGTGTCCTTGATCGAAGCTGTGGAAACACACTAATGACCATACCATAGTCTAGTTGTTTCCATGCCATGTTTGGATCCTGACCTAGGTTTGAAACTTCATTGACAAACCGACCATGTGTTTTTGTGTGTTTTTCGCAACGAAACTCCAGCGCAAAACATGATGCCGTGTTATTTTGCCCGTTTTGGGGAACATTGCGCAATAGATGCATACTGACCAGGGGTGACCAGGGGACCATTCAGTAGTTTGATTTGATGAGTGTTTTATCCTCAGATAACACAAGCCCTCATGGTCGAGATATTGGACATGATGCGACCAGTGGCTGTGAACTCACGTTCTTCATAGGAATCCGAACGAACCAAAGAAACATGTTTCGGGCAACTGACGTTGATACCACTCAATCAAAGCCGGTTGCCATAACTTATCCACATGTTTGAGGTTTAGATGGTGTTTGGCATTGTGTTTGGTCGTGAGTTCCGTCAGATGAGATTCCACCATGCACTTCAGGTACTTGGCCAGGGGGTGTTCCAGTTAGGAGGTCTGAGTCTACTGAAGCAATACTTGTTCACGATGTGTTTCACGTGACTATGCTTGGACCAGAGCCGGTGGCAGATTACCATGGTGCTCTACAATCCTGACTTCGACATCCTGACCGTGACCGGGATCCACTTTCTCCTCGCCCGTTCCGGGCGGATTTGGAAGCAGATCACCTTTATGTGTCTCGATGCATCCGTGATGGAGTGAGCACGTGTGGCGTGTCATGGACGCCATTACAACGAAGGGATGTGTTTTCTGACGAGGCAACACAAGATAGAATAGACTGACAGTCCATGGATGGCATGTGTCAGGCAAAACATATTTAATGGATTTATGATAGAATAGGTCCATGGACATATTTAGGTTCTCATGCTAGTCCACATGCTGAGCTGGTGAATGTGGCCCCTTCAGTTCGATGCCAGCGGTACATGCTGGTGAATGAAACCCATTACGAGCACAAAAGGGTGACAAATGGTATATTCAGGTGCAAAATGGAGTAAGGAAGGCTGAATTCATGTTCCCAGGTAGTGGATCACTGGATGTGTGTTTTGCATCAACTAAAAGCTGTTCATGTCCATTTATGCAGATCGAACTCGGTGGCCATCACTAACCACCGACGGGATAACCTGACCGCCGATGGATGTTGCAGCGAGCGCTTATTTGGACACCACCTCTTGTTGCGAGCCACAAGCCCTTTTTCAGGAGCCATGTTGCTCAAACAAACAACAACAAACAACAACAACAACAACAGGCTCCGGAAAACAGGCATGCTTGACCTTTGAAAAGGACCTTTGCAGCACTTGCAGCACTCATTGCTGCTCCTGTTCTGCTCCTTTGACCTTCCACTTGGGGGGAAGTTGGTGTGTACGAATTGAAAATCCCCTGGCCCGCCACTGGTGAGGAGTGAATCTGTTCTGCCGTGACTTCAGAGACGATAAAGCCCCCGTGTCGACCATGAAGCCCTCGCCACCAAAGATCACAGGAAAAAGACATCCTGTACACTCCCTGGAGAAGATCACAGAAGCGGATGGCACCACCTCTTTGGTCTTCGGAAGACTCATGGTCTTCCTTTTGGGGCCATGCCATCCATGAGTCCATGAGCCCATGAGGAGGTTGACTTTCGTGGGGCGACGGTGGCTCCTCGTTTTGAAGACGTGACAACCCCTATGCCAAACCAACAATCGACCAGGAAAGACACAGGTCTTATGGTGTTTTTTGTTGGTTCGTATCTCAGGTCGTTGAAGATGGCACCTTATGCGAATCTTTGGCCACTCTGTTGGGAGATCCTATTCTTCGGGAGTATCTGCAGCTGAAGGGACTGAGGGAACGTCCGAGGTATATATGTTATATGTTTCTTTCGGTGTTTTCTCCGTGCCCGAGGATATGAAAGGCATAGTAGGCTTATAGCTTAGTATGGCTTAGTAATTTGTGTCTTCAGACCCCAGGTCAGCACCAATTTCAAGAGAATACTGAAAGACACACAAAAGGCTTACGTCACACAAGCCAGATAAGCTAAAACATAGCTAAACCATGTCCATGTCACCTCCATGTTCATGCCTTGCCGGAAGACCTGGTGTCTCCTCAATGCACTGGGTCCCACGTCCTCGTTCGAAACGGTCTCGGGGCCCCGATCTGGAGCGACCTCAGGCCTCTATAGCTAGCGTCTAGACGGGGGGGTCAGCCGCGGTCAGCCCATAGGGGTCAGGCATTCCAACAGAGGTTGGTTGTGACCCGAACTATAGGACCCTACCAGGAAACCCGGGATAGCCTAGTTCGGGTTGGTTGGTTCTTCAACCTCTGTTGGTGGTCTCTCGATCTCGCATGGACAAGATCGCGAAGAGCTCAGGAGAGAAGAACACGAGAACAGATCTTCCAGTGGGCCATGTTGCTGGTACAAAAGTTTATTTCACACGATCACCACTGGCTGTTTCGGCTTTCTGAGCGCCCCCTATTGGGTTGATGACAGAGGTACTATCGTTACTCGTTACTACGTAGCTGTATGGATAAACGAAAGGTCGGCAGACTGTCGAGCGCACAAGAACATGGATCTTCGGTGGTTCATCGACGTGTTCATGCAAGAAACATCAAAAACTGGAGAAAGGAGGGCCCCGGCCCCTTGAAACTCAGGCATTTTCACAATCTTCATAGAGGAGGTCTATGAAGTCGTCAGTGGTCTCTTGGTTTTTAGAAAGACAGGGTCTTGGGAGGAAACGAGAAGGAAAGGACTGGCAGTATAGGAAGAGAAGGCACTAAAGGCCAATCTAGGCCCTAAGCCAATCGTTGAAGAGAAACCTACGTTTTTCAAGCGGGTTTGGTGATTCAACATTTGGCATTGACCAGATTTGACCTCTTCTTCCTGCAGCCGGGGTCCATTGATGCCCTTTTCTCGGAGTGATCCACCCAAGCTGGGCTGCGACATATTTCTGCAAAGTTGTGAAGGTTGAGGGATGGCCTCAGGGACTGAGGGATGGAGCAGACATGCACAACCATTGCGGCATCTGTTGAGACTTACCAGAAAGAATCTACACCTCGGCTCCGTAACATGGAAACATGGCCCCTGACAAAACATCATAACACACAAACTAACAATGTTGCTTTGAACGAGTTGTTCCACGGCCCCTTTTCCACGTCTTCGTCATGCGACGGTCATTTTTCCTTGCCCGGTATCCGAGGACTTCTGGCCACGCGCGTGCGGGGGCGCTGCAAATGCGTGTCCTTCTTCCGGCCCCTTGGGCGACGGTCGTGGGGAGTGAGACGTTGGATGCTTCGGTGAGGCGAGACGTTCCTGGAGGGCGGGTCGGACCTGGAGGGTCGGACCCGGAGGTGTGTCCTGGAGGGGTCCAATGAGCCGGCAAACGGGGGGTTGGTGATGGTTGGTGTTGTTCTTCTTTTTTTGGGGGGGGGCGAGGACATGTGGTGCCGTGGTTGGGGCCCTCCCGCGAGCTGAAGCAAGCTGGGCGGGAATGGGATTTGCAAAGACCTAATGGGGCAAGGAGCAACTCGACCCCCACTCATCCCCACTCCGCGGAGCTATGTCAATGTTTGATCGATGAGTTTTGCAGGAGATTGATGAGTTACCGGGATGCCTTTTGGGGGGGGGGGCACAGAAAGGGTGTAGAGTGAGAGCCCGAGGGATAGGGAGAGAGACAAAAAGAGGTTCTTTGTGTTTTGCTTGTTTTGCTTTGCAACAAATTCATCGGCATTGCCCATGAAATCGAGGTCGGAATGCCGCCCGAATTCGAGGGGCAGGCCGTGAGGTCACAGGTTCCAAAGACCCAAAACCTGTAGACCTAGAAACCCCAGTTCATTATACCAGGAGTCACAAAGGGGTGGTTTTTAGTCCCTAAGTGAGTGGATAATGGGCACCCCTATCCTCCAATAGGCACCCCTTTGTGACTGCTGGTAGTTATACCACCTTGGTAATGGTTTCTTGGAGATTGGCCTTGAAGGAGTCTGACAGTTGGGCTCCAAGAAACATCCGCCACAATGCCGGATCACACCATGAACCTCTTCCAGCACCTGCTGGTTTGTTCCTCACCGTGCGGATGGCTTTTGGGTCGTCAGCGGTGCTCATGTCTCCCGGAATCGAGGGAGTACATCAGCGTTTGGAACCTCATCGATTGGGTCTCGATCATCTTGGCCTTCACTCTTCTAGGCGCGTCGGAACCCGCACAGTCGACTGGAAGAGACCGGCGAAGAAAGGGGGGGCGCGGAGAAACACGAAGGACGGATTCGCCGTCAGCGACCGAAGGTGATCAAATCAACGAAGATGCAGATATGTTGATTAGGACCCCCCGAGATATGGATAATCTAAGAATATCTGAGATGTATACACATATTTACATAACCTCTTCATATGGAGGGTGTTATCATGATTTATCAATCAAGAGTCTGCATTGTACTTCATTTGTCCATATTTGTCCATGATTCATTCCAGCTGTTGGCTGTTGGGAGACGATTTTACGATTGTTGCAGTGCTGATCCAGTTTTTTGTTCCAAGGCCTCCCAATAAAGCTGGGCTAACAGGATACACACGTTGAAGAAGAAACACGTCTTCAGCGATGCTTTAGGGCTTTCGAGTGCTTTCCCGTGACCAGGACATTTCTGTGATCAATGCCTTCGAAACGCCCACCGACCCGTAGCTTCTTCTAGTTCCGTGCGTAGGGGTCCATGAGCCTCCAAACCTTCAGAGAGCGCCCTCACCTCCATGACGCTCCGCTCCGCTCCGCTCCGAGCTCCACCGGTCCACCCAACCGTGACGGACCGATGGCACCGGTGCCGCCAGGGATGTGGATCCTCACCTGTGAGGATCGGAAGGCGTTGCAGGCGAACGGTTCCGCCACGGTGGGTTTCAGCTCCAAGTGACAGGAGGTGACGTGACGTCCTTTTTTCGTTTGGGGGTGGGGGAACATCCCATGGTGAAGCCCCGGTGTTCCGTGGGGCTTCCATGTTTCCTTCGCCCTGGCAGGGGAATGGTTTTGTTGTCCTTTTGTTTTCAGTTCCTGAAGCAAAATCCAAGTTGAAGTGAGAAAGGGTACCAGAAGTTTCAACAGAGTGCTGATCCAGTGAATGTTCGGCACCGGCACCCCGGAAAAGGGAACTAGTGGCCTACATGTCTACAATTGATTCAGATTCACAACCAGGAGTTGGAATATAGACCACAACAGGATCTATATGTGGCTATTGTTGCTGCATGTTGTTGAACAATAGGACCATAGCTGGTATGTCAATGTGGCTATTGTTGCTGCTGTTGTTTCTTTCGCACCCAGCACCATCAACCAAGTGATGTGAGCTAGCTATAGATCCTCTATATATATATATATAGAGAGAGAGATCCTCGACTCTACAGATCCTTAGATATGGATCCTTTGTGTGGTACTGTGCTCCTTCTCTTTCAGTCTTGTGAGGCATGTTTTCGGTACCTTCAGCCACGGAAAGGCACCTTCCTTTTCGATATTCAGTCGTTCGTACCTCCGACTTGGTCCAGCTGCGAGCCGCAGTCGTTCCGGCTCTTTCGCTAGGTGGCGGTGGAAGCCCTGATTGCCACCTGCAGCTCTGCAGACCAAAATACATGTCAAGAATACCAAGGTGCCCGGCTCAGCCACCGGGCATTGCAAGCAGCCACCCTAGCATTGCAAGGCACTGGGCGTTTGTTTTAAAGCATGTTTTTTCCGACTCCAAGTCGTAGTTGAGCAAGGCTTGTTTCCGGAATCACCGACTCGTTCCCCATCGCATCAGCAGTCAAGATGGACTTGTGAGCCATCATAAGAGCCATCGATCCAGTGCTTGCATCTATAGCCATAGAAATTTAGAACCACCAAAGAAAGTGGAACATCCCCCGTGAATGTTCCTCTACATCATGCCAATCAGATCCAATCAGTTGACTGTAAAATGCGATTTGGACCCTCATTGTATGGAGAGTGACCTGTTTGACCGTTTTTGGGGAACCTCTTATAGACCCTAGGGATCCAAGTACCTTCTCAGAAGGTACTTGGACCCTCCAAACCTACATAAGAGTGTCCCCAATCACCTTCTGAGAAGGTACTTGGATCCCTAGGGAGAGGTATATAATGTGTGTTTGTTTTGGTGGCCTTTCTTACCATGGTGTGTGGGTTGGACACATCTCTGTAGAGAGCTCGCCGCTCATCGTTCCGAATGCTGAGACATGTTGAATGCTGAGAGCACCATGATGGAGTGAAAGGAGAAGTAGTAAAAGGCAGAAGAGAAGGAAGCAACATATAAGTGACAAGTGATAAGTGATAGGTTTTTAGCAACATAAGTGATAAGTGATAGGATTTGCTCAATAAGAGACACGTGATAGGATGTTTGTTCGCGGTCAGTCTAGAGAAAACAAGCTATAATGTTCTCCCACCATATTGAGACTCATTGGTTTTCTTTTTTGGGGGGGAGGCTGCACTTGTCCAACCCTCAAGCGACCTGAAACTATAGAGTGCCAGGCAGCTTCGGCATTTGATGGACACATCCTCGCCAGTGATTTGATAGAGGTTTCTAAAATATCCCCGCAAGTGATCCCAGCCATCATTCGCAGAGGCAGAGGTAATAGTGGAACAACAACGACATGGGATCAAGAATGCTTCATTCATAGAGGATTCTGCTTTTCTGGGGTGTGAACCGGGGGGTTGAGGTTTTAATGCGTTTATGTAGACACAATTTAAAATTGGTTTCGATAGGGCCAGTTTGCTTATTTCTGGGATTCAATCAAACTTCCCAGCAAAAACGCTGTTGGTTCATTGGTTTCCCATGAGCAATCATGTCGGCATTGACACTTTTTGCTGACCTCGTACCGTAAATTGTTTTCTGCAATTGCAACATATAAGCAGGCTGTTTTTTTCTGGAAGTATTCCGAGCGCAAAACATCGCAAAACCAATGTTGGGTCGGTTATGATGGTTCACCATCTAAAATGCACGGCCTGCACATCCTTCAATGGCAGCCGACCTTCACGCCAAAGACTTCATCTTGGCCGATCTCGGTCCTCATCAATCCACTCCCGTCACTCCCGTCTGGTCCTCCTCCGTGACCCACTCCTCCTCGGCTGGCAGAATATGTCTTGGATTTGGCATCGGATGCTGGTCAATTAGCCGGGCAAACCAGCTTGGCCCGGGCGCCTGGAGACGACGGAGAGGACAGGCGCCGTTCTGACTGGCGGCCATTGGTGGGAATTCAGGGAGCCATTGGAGCCATAGGGGAAAGGATTGGAATGAAGATCCACCTTAACCCATCACTATTTAAGGTTGTTTGGTTTTTAATGATATAATGATGATTTGGCTGCGGGGAATGGGGATTGGCTATGGAATGTTGATGTTGATGGATTTGGCCTCCTTTAGAATCCACAGCTGTATCCGCAAAATATCCCATCTACAATCATAATCATTTACATCCATCCGCTACTGGCATTATCAGGAAAATACCAGTCGGCTTCCCAAAAGCACACCCCTGCCAGTGTTTCCCCCCTTCCGACATGGGAGAAGATGACTGGACAGGTGTTTTGGGGCCCCCATTTGTGGAGCCACGTTCCATTTCAAACATCACCTTGCGCCAGATATCTCCAGAGATCTCCATCCAGCCTTTGACTTGACTCTAGTATTGTGTTGTTCGCCTTGCGAGCACCTTGTTGCGGCGAAACAATAAAGATATTGAAGACCTAATCTGACAACAATGTTGACAACAAGGTAAAGATATTGACAATAGACAATACATTAAAGATATATGTTGACAACATGTTCAGCTCATGGTGTTGCGGGTCATAGCTGGTGTCTTCTTTTTGAGTAGATCCTGAAATGGTCAAGCTCAGTCTGGATTACTTGGGGGTTGAATGTCATTTCTTTGGTTTGTAGAGGCACCATCGTCTTGGAGCATCAGGTTTAGGCTTTCATCAGTTGTTGTACATACGGCTCATGATAGGTTAGAGTTGATAGAACATTGGTTGATTTATAGAGTAGTTCAAGCTCTCCACAGGAGATTGCTCCACAGGAGACTCTGCAGGAACAGTCCATTTTCCCTGCCCAACGTATATTGCGATTTTCCTGCAAACAAAAGGTTGACGTAGGCTGTTCCGTGCACCCGCCTTCACAGGTGAGCAGTGGGGGGACTCAGCTGGGCAGGCTGGCGGCAAGGGACTTCAAGCAAAGACACCCGCCATGGCCGTGTATGGCCATGGTTGCTTGGGGTTCGAAGAGCATTGTGGATTTGCGTTTTCCATCTGACCTGTGGCTTCACTTGTTTTGGGTTCTCCAATGAAGAGACTGGTCGTCGCCCAGCAGTTTTGATGCATGGTCCAAGTTGCAACAAGTGTTTGTTCAAGATTCATGGCGACCTCGCCAGGCCGTCGATGGGAAACTTGTATACCTGGAGTCACATGTCTGGGTGGTGTTTAGTTCTTAAGTGAGCGGATGTTCTGGTCACCCCTATCCTTCCTGGATCGCTGGTATACTGGGCTAGGCTGGGGTTTCACGAGGCAACCCTCGATTGGATCACGACTTGAGACTCTTAGACAGACCTTTTTGCCACAAAAACTGCTGGCGATCGAGCCAGCTCGAAGCTTTGCTCCCATCTCCCCAAGCAAGGGAGGTCCCAGAGTAGAGGACTGGACCATGGAAGAAGAGTGGTAGAACAAGTGAACGAAGTCTGAGGGAAGCTCACCAGTGGGCTCACAGAGACAGGGATTGTTTTCTTTCAACAGCGGATACCCTGCATTGCCTCCCTCAAAAGGAGGGCAAGACTAGCCTACGGTGGAGATTTACTCGTACCAATCTCCTGTTTTGGATGTGTGGCACTTTCGACATCAAATACAGACAAGACGATAAAGGTCCCCTTTTTCAACATGTCTCAAAACCTTTTTTGTTCTTTTCTTTGGGCGGGAAATGCATCTCTTCTTTGGCGGGTGCATCCGGTCGCCTCTTCCTCTCACCAAGGCTTCTACCCTTTCTGCATCCTCTTGCGACTCTTCAAGACCTTCTCCTTGCAGCCACGCTTGGCCGTCCCTTGGGCCGAAGCGTTGGAACTAGGGCCGAACAGCAGAAGGGCCGAAGGTTCGGGCAGCAGACTGGGGTCCCAAAGGGTTTACTGCGCCGTCCACTTTTATACGTATTGACGTAGGCTATCCCATAGGTACCCTGGTAGGGTCCTATAGGGTCACTTAACCTTTGTTGGTGTGTTTGAGTGAGGGTTCTCGGATCGGAAGACTGATTTGTGTTATTCTAGGCACCAATGCAACATGAAAACAACTACTCTATCATATGTTTTTACCATGGACACAATAACACATGGTTTGGCACCAAACAGTAAGACCTTGAGATAAACATCCGCAGATTTTCCACAGTGCATGTCTTCTTGACGTTGCTGAGCTCCATCTCTTTGAGCTCCATGGCCGCCCATCGAGCTTGCTCCATCTCAGGTGGTCACACGAACCCTATGGGCCTCCTTCGCCGACTTGGCGCCGACCTTAGACCGGAGTTCTTGCACACACATTCCGCTCGCTCCATGGTCGACGGCTCAGTGGGTAAGGACGGAACGGGTTTTCTCCGGCCACTTGCGCGCGGGTGGGGTGGGGTGGGGTGTGACTGGGTGTGACTGGGCGTTCTTCTCGCAGTTTCGCCATGTGAGTTTTCCCCCTGAGGCCCACTTCGGCATCATTTTCCTCTCCGTCTTTGTGACCTTCGTCTTCATGGCCATGGGCTTTTTCGGCCGCACCGTGGAAGGTGCGGAGAACGGGACCTGCGGAGGTCCCGTAGGGTGGAGCTATCAAACACACCCCGGTGCCGGTGCCTCCGGGTAGATGGAGTCAGAGGGCGTCATAGGATATACCAACAGAGGTTAAGTGACCCTATAGAACCCTACCAGGGTACTTATGGGATAGCCTATAGGGCTCTTCAACCTCTGTTGGTACTTGTACTATCTTGTACTGGAACGTGGCATATATTTGCAGACGACCTGACCATGTGGACTCCTTCCGCCGCAATCGAAATGAGAAAAAACTGATGTCTGATTTCAGGAGAAATTCATTCTGGGAAACCAAACAACCAGAAACAATTGGTTGTTCCAATATGGCAAGGATTCAGTTATTACGCTTTTCAGATGTCTGTTCCAAATCCGGTCATCGCTTCTTTAGCCACGGTCCGGACCGCTTTCACTTCGGTAAAGCGGTCCGGACTGGACCGTGGCGGCAGGGTACTCGAGCTTCCATATCGCCTTCGTGACGCTCTTCCGTGCCTTGATGGGGGATTTGGACTTCGATGCCATGGAAGAACAAGCCGGTCGCGTCATTGTGACTCGGCTGTCCGATTTCGTCCGTGCGGAGGGGGTCGTTGGGGGGGTATATATAGACAGATGTAGAATCAAGCAGTGACCTGCAATTGGTTGGGGTGGTCTTTCCTTTCGGTGAAGGTCTCCTTGATTTGGGCGTTTGAGGTGCGTTTTTGCAAAGGTGCATTTGCATTGGAGAAAGGCTGTCTCCAAATATGTATGTCTGTTTGATCATTCACCGTGCTGAGAAAGCGGTCCAAGCTGGTAGCCAACTAGACGCATGGTGCCTTGAAGGAAAGATGCTTGAAGTCAATCCCTTAAGATGTTGCGCAACATATTGTCTTCAACACCCAAATCATGACTCTCCACACAACAAGAGAAGCATGGCATGTTGCGAAAAAACATCAATTTGTCGTGGCACGCGGAACTCTCGAGTGCCGGGTTTCGTGTGATGTCGACCCCGCGCGACCTGCCGCACAACTGCCGCACCGGTCGATGGATCTGATGTGTGGGATTCCATTGAACGTGGCCACCCACAGCGGGTCCGCAAAGATCCTGTCCTATCCAGAGACCATGAGATGTCATGATCGGTTCGTTGGGGGAGTGAGATAATGTGAGATGTATATTTATAGAGATTTATAGAGCTATAGCGTTCAGCAAGTTACGGAGCAAGATGGCAAAACCCGAGCTTCTTCTTCATGAGGGGATTCAGCTTAGGGGCTTAGGCACAATCCTCACATCCACCCCCAGGGGTTCGCTTCGGATTATGATTCTGTGTGTGTTCAAATAGGAAGGCCTCCTGGGCAACGACCCCCTGGGAGAATAGACCTGCCGGTCCGAACAACAATTAGATCCATATCTCATCCCGTGATCTAAAGTACCGTCGTTCTTTTTATGTCCAAAACACACCGACGACACACCGACCGGTCCACTGAGCTTCGACTTCAAGCCTAGGCTGGAATTTTCCACTTGGCCTTTATGCTGACGATGTTGCTGATTCTGCTGAATATGTCTGGGAGCCCAGCGGGTGGGGCAGCTGTGTATCGTGTATCGTTGGATCACCGGTGTTTCATCATGACGTGGATGGCACCACCTGTTTGGTATGAAGGAAAAGGGTCATCGCCATTGTCATCCACGTAACCATAAGTCCAGGCAGATCTCGTTTATAGCCAAATAGCCTTCGGAGAAGGTGGAACTGGGAATGTTCAGGTTTGAAGGATCGACCCTGTCTTTTGATGCAGCTGGAGCCCTATATAGGATATATCTTAATGTGGCTTCGATGAGTTCAGCTTCTGTGGAATCGGATGTTGACCCTTCGCTCTGGCTGTGGGTGGAGGACCAAACAAATACGTCTTCAGAAATTGCTGGTGAACAATTCTGAATCGTTCCGCCTGCCCGAAGGTGTCTCAAAAAAGGCTCGCAACCAGTCCAATATTGTTCCTCATGCCTCCATAAACTGGTGACCTCATTGGTGTTTGAACCACTTCCGGCGCCTCAGAATGAAGTCGTAAACAAAAAGAACCCCGGAGTGCACCGGGACCCGCGGTCGGTGTGGTCGGCTGTCGCCCGGCTTAGGCTGATCGCTATCATCATGGACGTCTACGCTGAAACCAAGCGAAACGTGCCCGACTGAGCAGTCTGCTAACCTCGCAAACAAGTCTGACATGCATGGACATGATCTACTTCTATAGGTGCTGCAGATTGCTGCAGGATGTTTTCCTTCAGTTGTAAGACACTTTGCTTCGAGTAGGTGATAAAAGGACTGGCTCCAGGTTTCGGATGGTCTGCCGAGCCATTCCGGACATATGGTATGTGCATATTGCGGTGGTTGAAAAGGGTATATGCCAAGATGTTCCAATGTAGCCATGTCATTCTCCCAGTTTGGAGCGCCATTTCAGGCCTTTTGAGGGCGTCCCATGCGTTTGACACACGGACCGGTGTGGGACGGACCGGTGTGAGAAGGAAACAAAGCGGCGTTCGCTTCACGCGTTCGCTTCACGCGGCGAGTTGGGGGACCCGCATGAGACCGACGGTTCGTGCGTGCTCGGCCAAAAGAAGAAACATGGTCTGAAAGGGTTGGTGGATGCGAAAGGGTTGGTGAACGCGTGTTGGTTTTTTCTCGCATGGCATACGCTGTGTGGTGGCTGGCGTATGGCTGATGTTGCGACCGCTCGTGCGGTCTCAGTTCCAAGAAGTGTGTGGCTGATATGTTTGGCTTGATCCAAATCTCCTGGTGGAAGAATTGAGCACCGCAGCCCAAAGATCATCCTCTCGATGGCGTGTCATCGTACCCACCAGTGGAGGAGCAAGCAAGGTGACAGGGGGAGGACAGTTAGTTGGGGCGTTCAAGCATTTTGAGCATGGAGCCGCCTTCTCCTGGAGAGCATTGTTCTATGAAGAAGACGGAAGCCGTTCGAAAAGCAATTATTCTTCTGTTGCGAAGACCTTCATGTTGCTGCAGAGAAGGGACTTCTTGTGGTCCTGAAATTGACATGGACATGGAAAGTATAAAGATACTGTATGTATATATATATATATACCGTGTTTTATTGTACCATTATATACCCACGGTGATGCTGGGGGCCGTTTGTTCCATGTCAAGCGCAACGGAGGTATCCACCCCAGAACAACCTGTTTTTTTTCAGTACCCCTCGAAAACAAGATTGATACAAAGGCAGTCAAAGCCACCCACTCCATAATTGGGGGTAGGTGAACATTGCCATGCAGGAAGACTGGCCTATTGTTTGATATTTCTTGTGTGCCCGCATCGTCCTGCGTTGACTGGACTCTGTTTTGCCAATAGACCAGCAATCACAATATCAACTAATCATACCAGGACCCTCCTGTCGGGGTGTCTATTTATAGCCCCCTAACTGTGATTCGGGGTGTCCATTAGCCACCCTGACTGGGGGTCCTGGTAACTCATCAACATTCGGGCTTGAGAGGCTAGTCCAATTGGGATTTTGCAACGCATGTTTTGCTTTGAACCCCAAGCGAAAGCGAAGCGCAAGCGAAGCGAAAGCGAAGCGATTCACAGTTTGTTTTTTGTTAGTTTCCACCCGGTCCGCCCATGATGGTCTGACAATGACCAATTGTGAGGCCTCCTGCAGTGACACTGTTTGGGATGATGTTGTGGCATCTCGGGCTGAAGGAAGGTGATTTTCCTCATTTTTGAACTCGGGCACACAGGACTCTCATAGCTTCGTAATGCCTCATAGGTTCATGACAAGTTGGGTGTTCCCGGTGTTCCCAGTCCAAAGTTCAAGCATTAGCCTTTAGGATCAAGATATGGGGCACGTAGAGCCAAACCAAAGACGACCATGACGTTTTTGTGGCGGCTTTCCCCATGGATCCCCACATCCTTGGACGAATGCGGGGTTCGCACTGATTCGCCCGCGAAGCCAAACGGTTTGGGTCACGAGTCAGGGGGAAAGACCGGCCCAAAAGTGACGAGCAGATCTTCTCTGGGATCGGTTTTCAGGAAAAAGCGCCAGGGAGGTCTCCTCAATCTCCTCTGAGGATTCCGGGCTTTCCCTCTAGAAGAAACACATTCTACGCCTCTGATGGGCGAGGCTTATTTTATGTGGGTTTTTGTCGGGTCCAAATACCTTCTGAGAAGTGATGTGGATTTGCAGTGATAGAGAGAGAGAGTTGCCCCTGTTGCCCCCGGTCGCTCGCTTTTTCGGGGTTTCAACCATCTTCGCTTTTGGATGACCCACGAGTGAAGCACACTCACCCCTGCAGGGGTCGCAGTGAGTGAAGCCAAGGATTATTTCCAGCGTCTTTGGCACCGCCGCACAGGAGCGGGATATAGGGAGTAGAGTGGGGGACCAGAGGGAGTGCAATCAGTTTGTACCTGAGTTTGGGCAAACCCAAGAAACACTTCTCCCTGACTGTGAGATAGCGCCTGACCTTATGTTGACCTAAAGCTGACCGTATGATTCTGGACACCAGAGACCTGCGAAACTGGCCAAGTGATCCGTCGCTAGGACTTAGGATCCATCGCAGTGCCTGGGGACCTGGAAAGAATATTCCTTTTTACCCCAGCCAGTCTGAATATCAAGGGTTATAGGGATAAGGGGTTATAGTCCATATAACCCAAAAACCCTATACTACCAGAAGTAGTTGTGGCTTGAATATCCAACAGGTGGATCGAGAGCTGGATCGAGAGCTGAACGTGCACTGTCTCACCACCCTGCGGGGTAAGACGTGAGCGGTAACCGTGCCCAGTCGGGTACCAAAAACACTCATGGACTCTAGGGCTCCAAGTACCTTCTAAGAAGGTGGGACTGGGGTGGGTTTAGAGGGTCCAAATACCTTCTGAGGAGGTACTTGGAGCCCTGGGGGGAAGGTAAAGATAGGCTGATTTTGTCGGTCCAAGGGATGCACCTGGTCAGTTGATGCGCGAGATTATATAATATATATATATATCGCTTAGACGAGATTGCGGGTGATGATGGGCGAGAGATGACTATGATTCAGCCAACCTCAAAATCAAGAGACTGATGCTCAGCGCTTTAGCATCATGTTGTTGACTCCTCTGACCGTCTTCACGTCCAGGAACTAGAATAAGCATCTCAAAGGCAAAGGCATTATTCATCGCCAGCTTGGAGCAAGAGGCAGGGGTGGTCGCCGTGTTCTTGATTGACCAGTGCCAACCTTGTACTGTAATACCTGTACTGTTGAGACACTGGGCCTTTTGCTCATTCCTTTGGACAGTTGCTCAGCGTCAAATTCGTTAGCTTGCAGTAGAGTCAATTCACCATCCAAGAACATTTTGGCACTGCTAGGACACATGGTTCTTTGACATTGTCCATCCAACATGTTAAGGAACCCTGGGGTGCGATTGCCAATGTACTTTTTCCCTCTCTTCTCAAACTCCAGTTGACTGCCCAAGCCCTTTTGCTCCTGCCGGCTCATTGCTGGCTCATTCCGTTGGCAGGGCTAGCCCATTCTGTTTTCTGCATGAAGAAGCCTAAGTCCTTGGGATCTCTCCTCGTCCAAATGTGACCACCTGGACTTTTGCCGGGCTGGGTAAGTCATCAGCCATGAGTTTACCCTTGGAGCTTGGGGAACCACAGCCAGAGGTGATGACAACACCCATTAGAGCTGGGGGAACCAACACCCCAAGAAGATCCAACACCCATTGCTTGAGTGCATGGCGAACGGTCCGGAAGTTCTTCACGCCCAACGAGTCCGGGCACCACCGTTCCGAGACCGTTCCGCCACCGTCGCACCGTTCCGGCACCGTTCCGTCGCGACAGGCGGAAGACAAGGAGACCGAAGCGCCACACTTGCAGAAATTGCAGACCTCGTGCCTTGACAATGCAGATTTTGAGGGGGGTTCAGGTGTTGAAAGGACCTCAACAAGGTGCAGAGATGGAAACTGCTGCGAGCTGGTTGGATGAGACCATCCGCGCACACCAGCGGCCGTGTGACTTGAACACCTGGGTCCTATGTATTATATAAGTCAGGAACGTTCTCAGGGATTCAGAGACCGCTTGGCCCACGCTTGGAATTCGGGTGGTTAAATAGGATATGTTACCTTGTCGCGCTAGCAAAACGCAGCATTACCCAGCATTGGGCTAGGGCTGGCGCTAGGTTAAACTACTTATCTATAGGCTATAGGTAAGATGTTTGTGGAAAAGAATCGCTTCATTTTTTTGCGATGGACCGTCACAATCGAACACACACACACACAGAGAGGAGAAAAGGGGCTTCTCACCATTGCTAAATGTATATTGTGGGCGCTTGGAGGTTCACCAAATGTTTGAGCAAGACGTTGAGCATGAAAGAGGCAAATCCTCTTGATCACGGCCGTTTGGAACTGGCGGAGGAGTGTGCTGCTAGACCCTCGTAGGCCCAGGCTAGATCCGTGCTAGACGACTTTACAACTTTGACCACTTGCCCAGGTCCTCTCCAGGGACCAGGGACTACAGGTTACTAGAATTCACTGCTGGTACAGACATACACTACAATCTAAGAGAAAGATGGTAGGAACCTCACCCCAATCATATGTGCAAGAGGACTGCTACTTTCAGGTTCACATTTCACATTTGGATCATTTTGACTCTGCAGGTAAGAAGGCTGCTGCTTAGGAAGAAAGTCTGCGGCATGCTCATACAACCATGCCACATTGTACATGCCCACCTGTTGTCTACATGAGAGACACCGCTTGGAATTGCTATGTTTTGGAGCTGCGGCAATGATTTCAGCACTTTTTTAGCTCACATGGCTCTCGCTGTTTGTCGAGTTGTGGCATTGGGAACTTCTGATATTGCTTCGCAATGGAAATCCAGCAATGTTTCGACTGGGGGAGGCTTGGGGTGGGACAATGACCTTTGTTTTGATTCCAAGATTATGCTATATACAAAGGCGCAGGTGAGAAGGATGCGGGGGTGGGGAGGTTCACGTAGTAATAACGTTCGTTAGGATGCTTTTTCAAGCTGCAGTGAGAAAAAGAGCGCACCAAAGCTTTAGGCCAAAACGCATCTTCTAAATTGCTTGACTTGACTGGACGCCGTCATGAAAGGACCAACATCAAGATATCTCCGTAACCCGTACGGTATGTGCTGGCCATTGCTATGTCAAACTAGCTGAAGAACTGAGTTCTGAAGCATTGAGCAGAAAAACGATCGTCTTACACACATCACATATCAAATACCTAGAAACACAAGACCGCATACAGGCGCCGGTACCTACTTGTTGTTTAAACACTCAAGAGTTCAGGGAACATTGCCCGCCTGGTCGCCAGCAGTCGCACCAACAATGTTGACCATGCCCATGACGTGGAGACAGTGGGGCATGAATGGAAGGACCCAGGATTTGATCCTAAGTGGTGGCAAAGGGACATTGAAAACCATGACACCCACACAACACAACACACACACACACAACACACACAACACAATGAAAGACATGAAACCGTGTGCAAGTGAGCTGAGCTTTGTTTATTGATTTGTCTTATATCCATCCATGTTCCCTAAACGGCCACCCGGAAGTCAACTGTTTGCATGACGAAGCTGTCCTTTTCACGGCCGAAGGCATCGTCCTTGAAAAACCGGTCGACGGTCCGGTCCGACCGGAGAACTCGACGGTCTGACGGTCCGAGGGTCTTCGGAGATGACGTGAAGGAGAGCGACATCGTGGTGACCATCGCAGATCTCATGCGACGGGCGCCTGAGCTGACGGGAAGTTCGGGAGCGGGCTCGCGGTGGGCAGCGGGACGGCCAGTGTTGCGCGGACGGTGGAGGGCAGAGGCGAGCGGCCAGTGTTGCGATACAGCGGACGGAGGAGAGGGTGTTGTGCCGGTGATTCGCCGAAGAAGTCACCCCTGGTCGATCGGCGAACGGGTTCACCGGTCAGGTCACCGACCCACAGGTCGACCCATTCGTCGTGGGTCGACCGAAGGGGACCGGTCACCAGTGACTCGGTCGCCGGTGACCGGACGATCGACCCGGAAGGGGTGTGGAGATGTGTGGAGACAGAGACGATTGACACGAAGGAAGTGCAGGAGTGGAGGAAGTGCAGCATTTTCTGTTTTGGAGTTTGATGTGTGTTTACGGCTTGTGGTTCCCCTGACAAACATACAAGTGGTTGGTTTTCAATTGGCAATCAAGTTCCTTGCATTAACAGTGTAACAAGATGTGTATGGTTTTGCAGCAATCATTGACCGATTGCTCAGTTTGGGGCGCATTGTTACACGCAAAATTAATTGAAAAGTACTGTTGATTGATGGGCCTGATTGACTCGCAAGTTTTACATGACTTTGGGGTGATCAGCTACTCACTCTAGTTCCCTCATATTTGGGGCAAAGTAAA